GTTTCATTCAGTAATGGTTGCTCATTCTAAAGCATGTGTGAAATACTTTATTATTTCATCCAAAGTTAAAACTGCGGACATCAGCAATTTGAATCTTTCACAATCAAGCTTTTCAAATGAGAAAAGGAAAACCCATTTAGGTAACTGCAGATTTCCCATGTTGGTTTTCGGTACCCGACCAGAAAAATATTGGATGCAACTTAGATAATTTAAATAGCTGCATGATTGTATTATGCAATTGCTGCGGCTGTAAGAGCAAAAACTGCTTGCATGAATGGGTGTGAATGGGTGAATGAGGCAAGTTGTGTTGTGAGTGCTCAAATAGAGTAGAAAAGCGCTATGTAAGAATCAGTCCATTTACTTTAAACATTACTATTTAATATATCATTATATTTAAAAAACAGTTCATTTCAAGCTCTTTTGATGCTCCATGTTTATATTTTAATGTTGGCACATAACTGATGTGGCTGTTGGTGAAAAATCAAAGTGTCTTTTGGAATAAATAAAAATCTTCCAGTGTGGCCAAAGCCAACTCAGTGCAAAACGTCTCATCTGGCAAAGACACCAAGCGGTCCAGAGAGATGTAGCTGGGCAGGGTTGGATCATACTGAGCTTTTCCGAGATACTCGAGGAAAAGGTGGCGCTCTCTGAGGCGCAAATACTTGGAATTGAGGACCTGGAAAAAGATGTCAGATACTGGAGTTAGAATTCCTCAAAACAGCCAAAGAAAATCAGTTCATAGTACTTTAAAACTTGAAAATATGAGCGCAAGAGAGACCTACCTGTGGGAACTTGGTGATAAGGTGGTGGGGTACTTTCATGGTGTTGTGGATGAAGTCAAATATCTCTGTCAGCTTCCTTTTATTGGCAGTCAGAAGTTTGGGCACAGCGAGAACTATGTTCTGGATCTCGTTTCTCTTAAAGCCAAGCTCTATTTCACACACCTGTAGAGTAAATCAACAAAATCTACTGAGAACAACACATCTAAAAACTGACAACTTCTAATAATGTCTCCTGTTTTTCCTGTACCTTTAAGTTTTCTTTAACGGGCTCCAAACTGCCACACAGTAACCTGGGAAGACGAGCTACAATATTCCGTGTCTGGGGAGAAATGCAAAACAACCTATAAGCTGTAATAACACACTATAACAAAAGCATAATAGCACGGCTCATATCATACATCTCCTATCATAGCTGCATACATTGTTAGCACTGAGGCTAAGTTGCTGCTGATAAAAACCCAATCTGTTGTCCAGCCTGTTCACGCTGAAGTTGAGCAGATAAGGAGCTCTGGACACCATGGACGCAACCGTCTCTGAACTGAAGTTCTTTGACTTGAGGTAGTTCACCCTTCACAAATGAGAGAGAGAGAACACTCATAGGGTCATAACAGTAACACAACACATGAACACAAATACCTCTTTTCCAGCAGAACCTACTCAACTCAACTCAATTTCAGAAGTTTTCTATTACAATCAAGTACCACCTAATGTGCGTGGGGTCATTACAGCGACACGGCTGAAAGGCCATTGACATCACATATCGTTTCACTTCACATCGCTTGGAACCCCGGCCAAGAAGGTCCTAAAGTATATGAGTAAGTTCAATAATGAAGATCTATGGCCTCACATCCGTCCACTTCCAGGTGCTGCCGGATAAATCTAAACTTTATCACTTCCACTTTCCCCACACTGTTGAGCCATTTCTGTCATCACTGGTCTAGTCCAATCACCTTCTTCCGGCCTTCTCCAGGCCAATCAGCATTTACGCTGCTTGGTTTAAACCTCACTGCCCATCCGTTTTTCTTCTTCCCAGATGTCATAACACAACCCACCTCTTCCTCATCTCCAGCTGTCACCATTCAAGCTCCATTCAAGCCACCTTCCTCTCCATCACCAGCATTTAGGCTCCGGGGGGTCCTGCTATTCTCTTTCACGGGTTCCGTCCTATTCTGACCCCTTGAACCTGGACTGCCAAAGCTCACTGTATCACCTCCATTATGTAAAAATGGCAAAACATTATCTTGGATTTCACTTTGAGTAAGCTCCAGGGAGGTAAATCTAACAAATAAGCAGATGGTGAGGGCCAATAATTTTAGTGTGGCCAAAAAACTCCATAGTTCCAGCTGTTTCCACTGAACGTCCTCCATCAGCCACCTTAAGACAACACAGCTAAACCTCACACTGACAGCCTGTTTCTGGTTTACTAATTCATGTGGACAATGTCCTGAACATTAAAAACAACAACGAGCATCCTCATCATCATGCTCCTGACCTTCGGGCTTTCATACTATGCAGACAAGGTCTCATTACAAGTGATGAGCCTCATTATGGGTCAGTACGACACAGAGGTTGTTGTCTGCTCTTTGTTCAAGTCTGAGGTTAAATTGTTAAAAAAAACAACAACAGGTGCTCAAAATGGGACATTACATGAGCAAAAAAACCCAAAACAACAACAACAACAAAACATCTCCAGTGCCCTTAAAGTGGTCCAGATGTACAAGAGAAGATGACTTTTAGAGGGAGATCAGGCAAAATCAAAATCAGATACGATTTTTTAAATTTCATGGGTTTACTTAATCACATCAGACACATTTATGTTACAATAAAGATCCTCGACATGTAAAGCTTTTCATTAAGATGCCTTTGAGCTACCTGGCCTGTAGGTTTTCCAAACTCTCAGTGAGAATGAAGGGGTTGTGTGAGATAATATAGCCGAAGCGAGAGTCCTCCACGCCGATGTCTTTGAGAAACAGTAACCGCGGGGTCACATCTGTGTTGAAGTTGAGCCTCAGCAGCATGGAGCCTACATTAGGCCTTTGTTCCAGCTTCCACAAGTTCACCCCTGCAATGAGAAGGGGTGGGTGAATGATTAGAAATAATAACATTTGAGTTCAGATTTTGAAGATGAGGTTTTACTGTGATTCCAAAGTGGTTATTTTGATTACCTAGTTGTACCAACTTGCTAAGCGTCTCAGACTTATCGACATAATCTCTAAGAGTGGTGGAGGCTGGAGGGATGGCAGAGGGAACAGATATACTGATGGCCTCTTCATCACTGATCTCTTCTAAAGCTGAAGGCTGAGCCACAGGATCCAAATCTGCTTGATAAAGAAATTACAGATGAGCAGATTCCAACGTGATACAAAAAACCCTTTAAATTAATGAACAATCACAGCAGCAAACTACTACCTACCTAATGATATATGACTATTTTCAGTAGTTAGTGCAGCATCTCTGGTTGGTAACAGTGAGGTCTTGTGTGCTCCAACATTAGTTCTTGACAGCTCTTGTGTATTCGTGCCTTCCTTTGCCTCGGTTGTCAGATATTTAGCTGCTGAGTCACTGTAGAAGCAAATCTGTTGTTTCCACCTCAGTCTTGTCAGCGTTGTTGCTGTTGTGTGATTCCCCCTGATCGATAATCCACTAATAACTTTTGTTGGTACTCTTGTCACCTTAATCCGCTGCTGAACCCGAGTGTAATACTGCCAGGTACTGCTCACCGTCTTAGAGTAAAGAGGACCTGTGCCTCTTAGACACAGCTGTGCACAAGTAGAGGCCATGGTTATTCTGTAAGAAATGAACATGACATATTTTAGAGGCATACCATGCAACATACAGTAAATGGTAAATGGCCTGTATTTATATAGCGCTTTACTAGTCCCTAAGGACCCCAAAGCGCTTTACATATCCAGTCATCCACCCATTCACACACACATTCACACACTGGTGATGGCAGCTACATTGTAGCCACAGCCACCCTGGGGCGCACTGACAGAGGCGAGGCTGCCGGACACTGGTGCCACCGGGCCCTCTGACCACCACCAGCAGGCAACGGGTGAAGTGTCTTGCCCAAGGACACAACGACCGAGACTGTCCAAGCCGGGGCTCGAACCGGCAACCTTCCGATTACAACTCCCAACTCTTGAGCCACGATCGTAGTGGGAAAAGGTCTTCAGTCAATTGTCATTCCTTTATATTTTACTTTCAAGTAGCCAGACTTTCTTGTAATTTTTAAAGTGGTCTTGAGCAACAGTTCTCCAGGCTTTCTGAAGGTCTTTCACTTTGTTTTCTTTGGACATTTGCTGCTTTTTCACCAATTTTAAGCCAAGTTGTTTTTATCTGGCCTTCAGAGAAATGTTTTTATTTCCCTCATTTTAACACGGACAAACGAATCCTTCCACCATAAAAAGGCAGATGACTCAAGGGAACCAGTGTTGTGTCTACACATTTTAGGTATGTCTCAGCATGGTTTGCAGTATGCCCTCACAAAAAAATCTGAGGAAACTGGACAAAGGGGGGGACCTGTCGTGTCACTAAAAAATTGCCAATTGCAAAAGTGCTTGGGTGCAGTCCTCTAAAATCTCAACTGGCACTGTGCATCGGTTAAATGTTGATTGGTTGACAAGTGGGCCAGAACTGGGAAAGGATCAACAGTGGAGTTCACCACTGTCACGGTCAGCCTTGCTCATCGTGATGGTGTGTTTTTCAAAAACACAAAGATGAAATGCTCGTGTCATTCATATTTACAAAAACCGTAAGTCACTAATATATACTTTCCCCGGATTAGCTAGCTATGCAGATAGCTCGGTTAATGATTTGCTAGCCTACGAGAGGCTAGCTGGACACGGTTACATCGTTGTATGCTAGCAGAATAATAATTCTTTAAATCCAGCGTCAGTTCATAGAGTGTTGTATTACTCACTGTTTATGAATTAAAGCATTTTCTTCACCGTCTTGCAATGCCAAGTATTTTCACGTGCGCGCTAACGGAAGTGCTTCACGTAAACGTCACTTTATGGGACGTGCCACAACGCCGTGTTTTTACGCATACCTGATGTCTTTTTTTATATTTAGCAGATAAAAAGTGTCATACATACAAAATTAAAAACATAACATAACATTACTACAGTTAAAAAAATGCACTGCTGTAGTTTATAACGTTTGCTCTGGGGAGTATTACAAAACTCTTTGGCATACCACGCCCCTACGATCAGGCTTGGTTCAGTCCGTCTTCAAGGTTCCTGATTGTTGGTCTGTTTTAACATCACCCCTCATAATTTCACAACTTTAGTATTCACGGATAAATTTGCATCGGTAAAGTTCAGGAGGAGGCATTTGTCTCAGCGACATGGCAGCTACGATTGGACCCCGAATACCGAGGAAGGACGATGCGAACTATAACTTACATTTCCGAATGATAAACGAGCAACAAGTGGAGGATATCTCCATTGACTTCTTCTATAAGCCGCACACCATCACTCTGCTGACAGTCACTGTGCTCAGCCTGATGTACTTTGCCTTCACCAGGTAGATAACAAGCTGAAATTGTACGTTGCTGTTTACAATTGTTTTAAAAAGCTTCATGTTTTAGTTCACACCCGAATTTGTGCCGTGACAGGGATGATGAACACACAGATAACAACCTCCGTGTCGGTTTGTTGGTAGTCGTCTTCTTCTTCTTGGTCATCAGTGTCCTGGCCTTTCCTAATGGTGAGTTAATAACTACTCATAATAACATTCCTTTAGTGGATGGTCGAGTGTGATAAAGTCACCGTGTGGATCTGAAACAGTGGATTCATTAGTACTGCTTTGATGATTAATTACTAGTTTAATCGCTTTTACGGAGTTACTACTTTTCTGGCTACAAGTATTTTCAGTTTTTGACTTTTGGTTGATTGAATTAGGTGACTGGAAAATATGAAATCAAATCTGTCAGTTTTTCTCATTTTAAAAATATGGTTCGATCTGCCTGTATTCAAATATGTCAAATATGTCATCTTAGGCAGACCAGAATAGACTTGATTAAAAAATAGATTTTACCCACGAAATAACTAAATATGATTAATGACTGTAAGAATATGTCTTAATTTATTAGTATATGTATACTTTATGTTATAAACTACCATTAAAGTGTAGCTTTAAAATAAATGTAGTAAGCTCTTTATAGTTTGTTAACTAAAGCTAGAGACTCAGGATTACCTGTTAAAACTCAGTTAGCTGTTTAATCAGATCGTCATACCTGTATTGTTGTATGCATCAGAGATGTGGGGCCATAAAGACATTTCATTCATGGCCTCATGGGTATCTTTGTTTGTCTGAATGCAGTTGTTTTTAAGTTGCAAATTCAGAAATCGGCTTGTATATTTGATTGAGACCAAATGTATATAAGGTGGAGAAGTGTGTGTATATATATATATTTATTTATTTTTTTTAAGATATTACTGTGCAAAAAAGACATTGGATCTGTATTTTCCATGATCACTTTATTATAAATGGTACAATCACCTTATGATGCTTTCTATTTCAGGACCCTTCGTTAGGCCACACCCTGCAATATGGCGAATGGTGTTCGGTGGGTGTTTAACTTTTCTGCTAAGATACAGTTCTCATGTAGCCTTATCGTCACTAACTCACTTTTCTCCTGTGTTGGGTAGGTCTCAGTGTGCTCTACTTCCTGTTTCTTGTCTTCCTTATCTTCCTTAACTGGGACCAAGTGAAGACTCTAATGTACTGGCTGGACCCAAACCTCCGCTATGCAAAACGGGAGGCTGATATCATGGTAAGTATAGCTTTGACATTTTTTGGAACCTGTTGAAGTGAAACTTAAAATCCTCTAAAGCCATTTTTTGATAGCTTTAGAATAATCATGCCGCATACTTGTTTTATTTTTTCAATAAAGTTTTATGATCTATGTAGTGATGTTCTTACATGCTCCATAATATGATCTATTTGGAGAATCTGCTGACCAGTGAATACACACTTCTGTAGTCAGATTTCAGTAAAATAAAGTAATTGTGGTAGCAGTAAAGATGTAATCAAAAGGAGGGATCAGCATGATTGTTAGCATTGTTACTGTTGTTTTCTCCCTAACAGGAGTATGCTGTAAACTGTACAGTGATAACGTGGGAGCGCATCCTGAGCCACTTTGACATCTTTGCGTTTGGCCACTTTGGAGGATGGGCCATGAAGGCTTTGCTAATCCGCAGCTACGGCCTGTGTTGGACCATCAGCATAACCTGGGAACTCACTGAGGTAACATTCATGTGATCTCTGCATGACAGCAGGCTTGATCTGCCTGTATTCAAATCTGTCATAAACATGCTGTATATTCACAAAGCGGGGAGTCTGCAAGGTCACAGAAGAGTAATTATCAGTCATTTGTAGTAATCCAGCTCATGCGAGAGAATGACAGTGCTTCAGATTATTCTGTGCAGGGAACAGGGATTGTTTGTCTGGGAGACATTTATGACAGTATAATAGCAGTAGGGGCTTTTTGCACATAACAATAGCTGTGGTCTTGACTGTTGCCAAGGAGTGGAAGTCTCAGCAAATCCACCCCATGGTCTGAATGTACAATGCTCAGACAAACTGCAACAACACAAGAGCGAAATGTTAAATCTTACAACTGGAAAAAGTCTGAAGGGTTGTCAGGAGAAAGCCTCTGCGCTCTAAAAAGAACGAATATTTACGTGGCAACATTCTTACCTTGCAGAAAAAATGAGTTCATATTCAAAATTACTATCGCCAGAAGAGGCACGGCTTTCCAAAGTGTTTCCATGGGAATGACGATGGTTTAAAAATAAATTACTAAAAGCTCTCAGGCTCATATAATGCAGAAGAGCTAAATATCTTTTCCCTTGAGACACCCACTGTGGCTCAAGTGGAAAAAGACTAATTACAAAACTACAATAAAAGTTATTCTTTCTTGTGAAAAGAATAACCCCAGATGAGGAGTTCACTGCAACAGAAAAAAAAAAGATTCTCTAGCATCCATGGGATACTGTTAAGAAATTATACTGTAAGTGATGACATCCAGAAATGATAGAAGTCATGTTTAATGAAAGTTGAGAACATGTAAGATACGATAAGATGAGATAAGGGTCAATGGAGTTTGTTTAAAGTAGAGGGATTGTGGACGCAGCACACCAGTTCGTCGTGGTGAAGAGATAGCCGAGTGTAAGAGTGAAGTGTTCGGTGTTCCCTGGGATAAGTTTGAGGAAATTAAGAGGGGGCTGTTGGGAGGCCTGGGCTGGGCTGCTCTGCCTAGGCTTAGCCTTCGTGACGCGTCCCCAGATAAGCTGAAGAAAATGGAAGGTTAACGCTTAGACCTTTCCATTTTTCCCATTTTACATATTTTGTTTTCTTTATGTGCATTTTTTGTTGTAGTTCTGAACATTTTGTAGCTTATGGTGTTTTGGAAAACTGTAACCGCAGTCATTGAGGCGGCCCTGAACTCTTCTGTATATTAAAGTATTCTAGAGTCAAATGTGAGACCATCTGTCTGAGAGATAAAGCTTGGCTTAAACTGGCTCATACAACAGGACAAGCAGAGGAACAAATCTAAAACAGAACGGCTGAAAAGGAAAATAATCGTTGTGTTGCAATGGCATGGCGAGCTGTGCATAAACATATGCCCGCAAACCTCAATGAAGGAAAGTAACACTACATAGAAGACTGTGTTAGAATTCCTCGACAATGTTGTGTGAGACTGATGAAAACGAGTAGTTCCAGTTATTGCTGCTGAAGGTGGTTCAACAACCTGGTGAATAATTTTTGCATACTACTTCTGCATTTTGACAATTTTTTAGTTCAATAAAGAATAACGCAGTATAAATTATTATGTGTTGTTATCCATCAGTTTATATTTAAATGATTTTGGAACCCGATAGGGACCAGATGGACTTTGTTCTCTTATATAAACCTTAGAACTGTAAAAAGCAGTAATTTCTATTTCGCTGACTGTATATTAACTCATGTCCCATGTTTGGTCACAGCTCTTCTTCATGCACCTTCTACCAAACTTTGCGGAGTGCTGGTGGGATCAGGTGATACTCGACATACTGTTGTGTAATGGAGGAGGCATCTGGCTGGGAATGACCGTCTGCCGTTTTCTGGAGATGAGGACGTATCGCTGGGCCAGCATCAAGTCAGTATTTTCTTCTCTTTTTTTCCCATATGTAAAAGAATTGCCATGAACATTAGAAACAGCTGAAACAATCTAATAATATGATAAGAGATATAATATGTGTAAGACAAAGTTGTCTTTTTAAATTCCTAAAAGCCAAAAAAAACCTCTAAAACCTTTATCAATAAACCTTAATCATTCAACTTCTTGTTTCCCTTTTTGTTCTCAAATGATTTACATTCAGAGATATTTTTCACATAATTGACCACAGGGAGAACAATTGGTTTCTTTTTGTTCACCTTGAATAATGTTCAAATGTTTAATGTTTCAAACATGAGTAGATCTCTGTATTATGAGTGCAACCCTGACACAATACACTGTTTCTGTCCAGGGAAATCCACACTACCACAGGGAAGATAAAGCGAGCTGTGCTTCAGTTCACTCCAGCCAGCTGGACCTTCGTGCGCTGGTTTGATCCAAAATCATCATTCCAGAGGCTTGCAGGCATTTATGTCTTTATGATCCTGTGGCAGGTAGGGGGTACCGTGATTCAGAAACACAAACTCAGTTCTAAAAAGTTTGGGTGCTTCGTAAAAACTAAAAACAGAATGCAATGATTTGCAAATCTCATAAATCTATATTTTATTCACAGTAGAACATAAAAAAAGATATCAAATGTTTTATTTATGCCCAAAAATGCAAAAATATACAAAATGAACAAAAAAGACAGGACCCTTAGAAGAGGTCAAATGAATAAAACTAAACTAAAGCCAAAAATAGCAACTAAACATGTATCCACACTAACTGCTCAACAAATTTAAATAAATAAATAAAAAACCTGACCTAACACGCAAAAAACAAAGGCGAAACTAGTGGCTCAGATGTATTTTTTAGGGAAGGCCTCTCATATTACAGCGAGACAATGCTAAACACTGCAGACAAGAGCCTGGCTTTGGTCTACCCGCAGTCCAGACCTTTCACAAACTGAAGACATTTGGAGCATCAAGAAAGAAAAAAACTAAACAAAGAACACCCAAGACTGTTGAGCATCCTACATCAGATAGGAAAGCTATCCTCGGTTCACTGACGTTTACAGACTGTTGTTAAAAGTGTGTGGATGGTACACAGTGGTACACATGGAGAAACATTTTTGAGATAAAAGAAATTAAAAAACCTTCACTTGTTCTTAAAATGGCCCATCTTCTTAGTTTGATATATTTTCCTTGTTTTTGGGGGAATTAAATATGGGTTTATTAAATAATTGCATTTTACACACCTTCCCAAGTTTTTTGGAATCGGGGTTGTACTTGCAAAATAGCGAGCCATTGATCAATTCACTAATGTGTCCGTTGAATAGCGTTCATTTGAAGAATCATATGTTCAGTAATACCCTCACTGTACATAAACAACACTTCCTGTGAAATCCTCTTTGTCTTACACATCTTTATTTCCACAGCTGACAGAGCTGAACACATTCTTCCTCAAGCACATCTTCGTCTTCCAGGCCTCTCACCCTCTCAGCTGGTGTCGTATCCTCCTCATCGGAGTCATCACTGCACCCACTGTACGGTATGATTAAACCTTCGAATTTACATCACTTATCAATCTTTGAGCAGTGGTAATTACAATGTTATGCGGTCTTATTCAGGTTGTACCAACTAAATACACGTCTGTGAGGATGCTGTGTTAATGTTTGCTTACTGATTTTGGGGTTTTGGGGTTTGTTTGTTTTTTAGACAATATTATGCTTACCTGACAGACACTCAGTGTAAGCGAGTTGGCACACAGTGTTGGGTTTTTGGGTGAGTATCTTTTTTTTTTACTGTCAATTTAAGCATTTTCTTTATCTAAGAGTATCTTCAGATGATGTTTTAAAAAATGTAAAAATGTAAAAATTGTAGCTAAAGCCATAGCTTGTCCATTTCCTTTGTCATTATGTAAAATTGGCTTGAATCTTTTTTTATTAGTTATTTGCATGCTTTGCAGAAGCTGTCACCGCACTGGTTTTAACAGAGCAAATTCAAAGTAACATTGTAACAAGTGTCACATACTACTCATCTAATTCTGTTTATGGTTGAAATCTGTTGTTGAACAGAAACATAAAACAAAGCTTTCACTCATTTTCAACCAGAGAGTAAATGGACACTTCCTGCTACTGGCGCCAGCTTAACCATAATCAAATCAGGCCACGAAGCACGGGTGTCAAGCTGTCGCATTAGACTACAGTTTGAATCTTTATTTAATTTTTTTATTTAATTCATTTTTATAACAGTGTAGCTTCATGTCAATTGAAATTCATAACATCATGTAGTCCTCTCAGACACAAAGGTGCTGATGTCCTTAGTCTGCTCCGGTTACTATAGCAACGAGACCGGCACACTCTCCGTCAGCAACTTAACGCTGATGCTGCTCTCTTGTCTGAGGTTCACCCCTGCAGTGTAACCTTTAAAAGTGAAAGAGTTTCCCACTGCACAGTGTGCTGAATGAATATCAGTTATGCTTCTTAATACTGTGGGAACAGTAACATGGACAACATCCATTTAGAGTCTCATGCATCAATAGAGGCATTTTAGCGCAGTGTAAAGGCATGGCCAAGAGAGGGGGCCATTGTTGAATACAGATGTCTGTTTTTGAATCATTCAGATCCAACACATCATTTCTGTTCTATTCTCTATTTCTCTTTAAGAGCCATCGCTTTCCTGGAGGCGCTTGCTTGTGTAAAATTTGGTCATGACTTGTTTTCCAAGACACAAATTCGCTACGTGCTCCTGTGGCTGCTGTGTCTGGTAAGAAAAGACAAGTGAGCATTTATAATTAAACGATATGTGTCACCTACAGTAATTGATTATTAAAACAGATTGAAAATAAGTGATTAATAAGGTAGATGTTGCATCTGATGCGCTGAACAAATATTATCTGTGGTTTTTACAGGAGTAGCAGGTTATATTTTCTTTTTTCTTTAAGCAGACTCATTTTTTGCATACTTTTCCTTCCAGGCACTCATCACGCTCCTGTGCTTATATGGGATGGTGTGGTATGAGCAAAAGAAAGTGAAGGTGAGATGGGGCCTTGGGCTGCTTGCTTACTTAAATGTTTCTAGAGGTTTTGGTTTGCTTGTGATAGTAGAAACCTCCATCTGTGGAATAGAACAGAGGGATGTACTACAAAGAAAGCTTAAGAGGTAAAACCTAAAATCCCAGTCACACACAGCAGGTATCACAGTGGTGGTTATCAACCTTTCTGTTAAGCCGGGCTTTCTGCTTCAAGGTTATGTGTACATTTACATAAAAAGGGCCGTTTAATGTTTCACATGACGCTTCTTCTGCACAAAGTGATCTCTTTCAGTGCCAACTACTCCAGTCAGAGATTATTTTCCGATGATGATGATGATTAAACAGTATATATAAACGACAACAACATATAAATAACACAAAGTTAAATAGCTTTAAAATTTGACTCTCGTCAATACATCAAGTTTATTTTAATACTGAGTGAATCTTAGTGTTGCTGTGTAAGCATCCGAACCCAATATAAAAACATTTATATTAATTTTTTCCTCCATCGCCAACTGAACACATGCAAATCCCAGTAAAAATGCACTGCTTCAACTTTTTAGCTGCACGTTCGGTGGTGTTAGTAAGCTACAGCTTAACAAGCTGCACATATTAGATGTATTTACCCAGCAGAGGATCTTTATCACATGGATATGATGTTTAAAAAAAGAATCAGTGAAAAGCATTTCTTGATTATTTTAAATTAAAACTCTGCTCCTGACCAGGTTATGTGTGCAGCATGAGTTACCATGGTGATTTAGCCAAAACAGAGTCACTTTCTTGACACAGAAAACTTTGACTTTAACCTCGATATAGCTCACTGTGCCATTAATCTCCCTTCACGGTGCACCCCTCTGGCGTTAGCATTAATGTCAACAGTTAACTGTTTCTAAGTGCCCTGTGTGTAAGCATGGCACAGCACCACCATTAGAATATGACGGTGAGCATGGATGCAGAAAACTAGGACTCTGAAACCGTCTGTATATTTTGAACCAAGCCAGAGCAGTGTTTTGAGCGAGTGAGTTGTACAGACTGTTTGTGTTTGTGACTCTGGTTTTCTTTTTGTTGGCAGAGAAATTCTCTGCAAAGGCACGACTGCAATGACAGGAGTGTTATTGACTCATGTGGTTTCATCACAGATGGTGCTGCAGGTCAGTCTCATAACATGCAGATTGATGACAACGTTTCACTAAACTCCATCTCAAATGTTTATCATGTCTTGTGTCTCTTTGCTCCACAGCTCAGGAATATTCCTCAAGAACTGTGCAGCCTGCAAAACGGAGGAGAGCTGCAGGCAGGAACAGATTTGTAAATGGTCAAGGAGGAAAGAGACAATAAGCAACAACTGATACTGAATATTTGTGACCTCTGTGGAGGAGGATGAGGAAATGATGCGCTTACCAAGAGGAATACAGTATGCACTATGTGGATGGATTTAATTAATATTGTAAGTTGCATCATTGGTGCAATTAATCCCCAAAAAGTAGATTCCAGAAATCATATCGGTGTTACTTGATAAACCGTTTGAACTTCTAAAGGTGTGGGAGGCCAGAACACGACAGCAGGCTTAAAGTTTGATTGAATTTCTTTTCTATTAAATGTCAAAGACGTTTCTAAATAAACTTAAGTAATGAGGTAATATGTGCTGGAGTTTGAGAGAAAATGGTGCCTTATTTGGACTGTAACAGCAGTCTGTGTCATTCCACAACCAATATTGTTTTTAAACACTGGAATAATGTTGTCAAGTGAAGGGTGTACCAACCAGTCCACACCCACCATCCTGTACAACAGTGGTCCCCAACCCCCGGGTCTCAGACCGGTACCGGTCCGTGAGTTGTTTGGTACCGGGCCGCGAGAGTTGAGGCTCAGGTGTGAAATGTATGGTTTTCAGGGTTTTTATCGGTTTTCAGCGTTATTTTGTTATCGTTTTTAATCGTTAACTCGGTTTTCTTGGGTCTTTTCACGCGTGTTATAAATAAATCTTTTTTTCAGTACCGGTACTAGTTTTATTTTGTTGTATTTATCCGCGACACCTTAAAGGCCGGTCCGTGAAAATATTGTCGGGCATAAACCGGTCCGTGGCGCAAAAAAGGTTGGAGACCGCTGCTGTACAACACTCATGTAGACTATTTGCACTAAACCTTTTTGACTGGTGTGTTTTTATTTACTGACCTTAATAGCTTTAAGAAACACTAAAGATCTCAATTACTGTTGCGTTTAAGAGTTGTAGATGGGTTGATTCTGTGATGATTTGATGATGATGATTATTAATGTTGTCAGTTTAATATTTTTACGGTTATATGATGCTGGTGCATTTACTGTCTATAAGTTTCTTCAATCAAAACAGCATCAGCAGGAAATAGACTTTGTCTATGTTTTAAACGAGTGTAAGAATTACTTAACCAGCTGTTCCTTTTTTAAAGTTTTTTTTAGATGTGTGATGCTGTGTATGAATGTGTGATGTACCCAACACAGAACTGTGACATTCAGTGGCTCAATATTTGTGTAAAAAGATCTTTTTTAATGCATTTTTTTATGATCTGAATTGATTAAATGTGACATTAATAATACAACATGTGATTACTTTAAATAAGCTGTTAAATGTGTAGAATAAGCTTTCATTTAGTGTTAGTTTTAATTTCAGTGCTAACTTTCTACACTGATTATTTTAATGTATTGAGTTTCAACTGCAGACAACACAGCAAACAGTGCATGACGTGTTACTACCCATGAAGGATTTGAATGGCTGAACTGTTTTTGTACACATAATTAAAACAAAAATTAAATAAATGTAGTCTTTTTTTCATGTTTTTTTTTTTTTCATTGTTCTCTGTGTCCCTCAAAACAACAACAACAACAAGAGGACAACAAACATTAATTTTACAGTTCTTTTGTTGACATTTTAAAGGAACAATTTCCCTGGGTACTTGAAATATCTATGGCTTTCTACAACACATTTTGTGAGTGCAAAGCTATATTCAACTGCCATTTTATTACTTGCATGTTTCTAGTATTGGGTTGCCTTCAGAGCTTCTTTAACCTTTTGTTACATAGATTCGTCCTGCTCTTAGCGGACATGAGCAGCACCTTGTGTGCTCTTCTGCTTTAAAACTTGGTGTGTTGTATTCAGAGATGCTCTTCTACATGCATCTTGCCTTTTAAGTGGCTCGTTGAAATCTCGGCATTATCCTCTGACCTCTGACATCTCGGACCAGAGAACGGCCACTTACAAGAAAATCTCCCAGTAGATCAGCAGCTTCTGAAATATTCATACTTTTTTGGCATCAATAACCATGTCATGTTCAAGGTCACTTAGATCACCTTTCTTCCCCGTTCTGAGTTTCTGCCATGTGTTTGGCTGATTAAACAGGTGTACCTAATATAACTATCAATGAGTGTAAAAAGCAAAGCATTGGTTGTATATCTGATTTACTCTTAATGTGTAGAAAGATGTAATTTATACACCACATTATACAAGTTACACAGGAATGCTTAATTCAGCCTCCACAGGAGTCTGAAGGGGAAATGGTTATGAGTCACCTTTTCATTTAGTTCTACCAGCTACCACAGTGAAATCCAACATATTGTTGTTATAAATAATCAAAATGGGTCAAATTGTTTATGAGATGAAATATGGTGATGTAGCAGCTATCGTTTATCTGAATTACTATTTAATTGTTCTTTAATGTAGTGAAGATGTGTGTTGTTGATACATTCCTGCATACCTTGGTATATGATTCCGGACCACAATACAGTTATTACTTTTAATGCATATAAGCCTATATTTTTACAATTTTGCACTATTATTTAGTTGGATTATTACTTTTATTTAAGTAAAAGGTCTAAACATAATAATTTACCATTTTGTTAAACACTTCTTCAAACCAAAATATTCTTGAAACCTTTGTGTTGAATTAAACTCTTTGTTTACTGTATTTATTTATGATCAAACATTCATAAGGTGAGCTTCCCACTACTATGAAATTTTACTTCCACCATTTGCCAGGCAGATCTGAGTCAAAATCTAAAGTCCTTATCTCAAAATGTCTCAAAATCTCAGAGACGTGTAACCTGAAATTATTTGGAATTCTTAAGTCAATATTTGGAATGACAGACAACAGAAAATATTTTTCTTTTTTCAGTGGCAGAAACAGTCTTCCATATCCCTCCCCCCTACAACATCATTTTTAAAAAAATCCTGAAAATGCCTAGACAAAAGGAAAAAAAACCTCATTTTTCCCCTTACAAATATATGTTGTTTAACCGTATACTTGTGATTTTTTATTTATTTATTTTTTGGTCAATGTAAATGTACAAATGTCCTTATAATTACTCGTATTACCCTTATGATAATAATTATCTCCATGATGCCATAGGCTTGACCTGTCGAGTTTACCTCCTTTGTTAGGTTGTGCAACTACATTTCCCATAGTTCCTTTGAGAGTGGCTACTGTGTTGGATGACAGCTATCCGGCGCCGAAACACCGAAAGATACTCAGACGAAAGAGCCATGGCGGCCACGGGTGGAGGGAAAATTAGAAGCAGGAGATATCATATTGCCTCTAAACCTTACGCCAAGAGTAAACAGGTAAACAGAATGAACAATTTAAGTTTAAAGCCCGTTTCGAGGATCGTACAGTGACTGTAATGCTTGTATTCTTGAGGTCTTGTTATTGTTTAGTTGGAGACATTTTGTGGCCTGCAGTTAGCGCTCGTGGCCTCCACGCGCTGCTAGCATGCACAGGAAATGCTAACGGCTAAAGGCTAGCTAACTAGCTCATAGGTTAGCAAAAGCAGGCGGGCTTGACAGTCAAATCGCAACACGGTGTGCCGTTTACATTAGGTTACAAGTGTTGATTAAGTGCTCATTCACATGCGAGAAGTTGAGATGGCCAACGTTTGCTGAAGTCGTGAGTTTTTAACTGTTAACAAAGTTCGTAGAAAGCGAGGAAGTAGGTAGGATTCTAGCCGTTAGCCGATGGAGCTAGTGCTAGTGGACGCTAGTTTCGGGGAACGGCGCATTGTTGTCCTCGGTTCTTAAGTTTTGAGGCGTCATACTGTTGCAGGTAGACGTGGCAAGATGGTTTGGTTCTAAGTAACAACTGTCTCGGGGTACACATAACTGTTTTCCATTTTAAGCTTGTGTTGGTGGGCTGGGTGGAAACCTTTTAAGTGCTAGGCACCGTTAGCCAAATCAAAGCCAGCTGAACTGCGCAGAGAGCATTGGCTGCTTGGAAACCCACATGGTTACCTTAGTGGGTATATTTGCCGCCTGGACAGCGGTATTGTTGGCTTTAAAACCACCCTGTGATCTTAATGGTGGCTAAGACTATCTTGTGTACTTTTTGTTTTTTTGTCAGTTAAAAAAAACTCCAGTTAACTACAAGTGTATTGTCTACTGGAGTGCAAATTAACTGGAAATCTTTCTTCCTTTCTTTCTTTTTTTCAAGAAATATACAATCGACTTTCCTTGACAATCGTCTTTAATAGTCGTAGTTGTACAATCATCAGTACCAGCACAAAGTTGTCACATTTATGAATTTCAAGTAAGACAGGATTTTGGATAGGTATCATTAATGATCAAGATATATTGATTATACAAACAAAATACTACACATTTTTTAATTCGACTCTTCTGGGTTTCATGGTTTTTGTTTTCCTCCCGTGTTTGATGCTCTGGATCAGGTAATATCACAAATCAAGTATAATCAACATGTTTCTATCAAGCATTATAATTGATTGCATTCGTACGACTATGTTTGACTCTTTACAAGTTGTGGCAGTGATTTATTAAGCTGCTAATTGACCAGAATCCAATTCAGGGTCACAAGGGCAGAGGGCTGGAGCCCATCCCAACTGTCATAGAACGACAGGTAGGGTACTCCCTGGGCAGGTCGCCAGACTGTTGTAGGGATAATGCATATACACAGAAAAACATTCACACTTCTACCTAAAAGCACCAGTTAACCGACAGCAGAAAAAGAAGATTCATGTAATTTTCCAAGCTCTGCTGTTGTCGTGCCAGTGTCATGTTACAGCTCTTAACAGCATATCTCACATAATCAGCAACCCAGATTTTGCATAATTCAGCATTGATCCCATGGCAATGTACCCTTTTGACTTCGCACATAGTGTTAAAATAGAAATGGCATTCATGGTAACAATGAAGACAAGTACATGAAACTGTGGCATGAAACACAAAAAGAAGTTGAATAGTTTTTTACCTCTGTAACATGAGTCAAGGTTAAGTCTTTTTAAATTGTGCATCGATTCAATAGCACATGATGCAGAAGTGTTTGAACTTTCACATTTAAGTAAAGTCTCACTCACCCTCAAACAACAATTACCCAAATCTTATTTACAGTTTAAAAGATAGGTTTAATTTTTCATCATCAGTTTTGTTTACACAACACTTTGTTGAGAAAACAGAAGGAGCTTGGTAAGACATGCAGTGTTTGTGCTGTTTCTGTCTTGATTCACTTCTAGGATTGCAATTCTTCAAAACAGTCGGGCTGGCTTCACTATAAGAGCACAAATTTAATTAGATATTGTTCACTTCAGGCTTCTCGAGGTTGACGTGCAGTTCGTGCAACACTCTTGGGTCTTAGCTATGCTACTGTGTCTACAGTTATGATTTTTTTAATTTTTTTAAAAAGCAACACTATGGTGGTGCTTATGCTCATTTTTCACATTTTATACACATGTGAATACACTAGTGTATTTGCACACAGGGTAAAGTACAGGGTGCCCCACAGGCATAGATAAGGAGGAAGGAAGGAGCATATATAGCTTATCAAGTGTTGAAAGTCACTGCGGGGTACATGGTGTCTCCAAGAGATGCACTTGCAAGCTGGTGCTTTTCCTCAGAGCTTCCTTTTCTGCCTTCTC